AAATAAACCCAAAAAAATGATTAAAAAATTTTATTGTTTATCAATCTAAAATTTTTTTTCAATAAATCATTTCTTCATTATGATTAGTAGTTTTCAATCGTTATGGAACTTATAAAAAATTAAAAAATAATAAAATCATAATTTTGATCAAAAAGTTTAAGGGAACCCGGTGGTCTAGCGGTCTAAAATTTAAGCTATTTTAAAAATTTTATTTCTATATGAAGATTATGACTAATGTTTTCAAATTTTTTTTACACTTATTCTATTACTTATCAACTACACGAAAATGAAAATTAAAACAAAAAAATATTTTTTTTAAATTAAAAAAATGGCGCTGAAGTCCCCCTCTCCAAAAAAAATGGACCTTACTGGCGCAGGTCGATTGACCTCTCCTTCTGATCTGAAATTAAAAAAAAGTGACAGATTTTTAATTAGTATAAGTATAGTTATCGTCGGAACTAGAATGAAAAAAAAAAAATATTTGACAAAATGGCGCGTAGTTAAAAGTACGAATCTGAAATTCGTTTCCAAAAAATTCTTTCAACTACGCGCTATTTTGTCAAATTTTTTTTATTTTTTTCATTCTAGTTCCAACGATAACTATACTTATATTAATTAAAAATCTGTCATATTTTTTATTTCAGATTAGAGGGAGATAAGAGGTCAATCGACCTGCGCCAGTAAGGTCCATTTTTTTTGGAGAGGGGGACTTCAGCGCCATTTTTTTAATTTAAAAAAAATATTTTTTTGTTTTAATTTTCATTTTCGTGTAGTTGATAAGTAATAGAATAAGTGTAGTAAAAATCTAGAAGCATTAGTCATTACCTTCATATAGAAATCAAATTTTAGGTCGCTAGACCACCAGGTTCCCTTAAGGCAAAAATTAAAAAATTATTATGAAATAATTTTTTTGTCATACAATTATCACATTACAATAATAAAAAAAAATTGATAATCAGACTAAAATTCAGAACAAAATAATAAATTTAAAGAAATTTTTTTTAATAAAATTATCTAGTATTGTATAAAAAAATTTCAGGCTATTTTTTTTTGCAAATTAATTATTGCAAATCCTCAAATAAAAAAATTCTTAAAAATCTCTAGTAATAATGATAGCAGAATTTCTTAAAAATCAACAAAAAAATATAAAAAATAAATTTAAAAAGAATAAGATGAATACCTACCTAAAATGATACTCATCAAAGACATTTTTAATAAACTGAACTCGGTTTTTTTCAAATTGCGCCTTATCAACAAGCTGTGGTTGCAATCTTCCAAACTTCTCTTCTATTTTTTTAGCCACCAACACTGACATTTCGTTAGCGCCACGCTTATAATTAAGCGTCCGTGGTAAATCCCCGATCGCACGTGATATGGTTGGAAAGTGACGATTCAAATAAGAAATACGGTGATTATAGCTCGTAATATGGGCCATAACTGTTCGAGGATCGCCGCGTTTGTCGCACAATACACATGTGTAACTGGGTTCGCAAGAGTCGTTATCAACCAACTCTAGCAGATATTCAAGACCAACGAGCGGTGAGCTTTGGTGGCGGTCCAGGCTCATCTGGATGGTGGTCGTCCGAGTGATCTGATCTTCCATGCCTGGAGGAACTGGTTCTCCAGGAGCTAGAGAGTTTGGAATCCCGATTGTTCCGCTCAGAGGGCCCTGCAGTTTCTTAATAGTGTCCTTGTCTGACCACAGGGACACAGGGTACGGCCATTCGTCTAATTTGAGCTTGTGTCTCGAAGAGTTGTTGTGGCTCTGGAGCTTGTGGGCTCCAAACAGCTGGAGGTTGCATATGTGACACCATATATCGCCTTCTTCCATCTGCGAGTACACTGGACGAAGAGTGCTGTCTTCAGCGGTTACGCTGCATCTCATCAACCTCTTCCGGTCATTTTCATCCTGTAATTACATTAGTCAATAAATTTTTTGTTAAAATAATAATAAAAATAAAAATTGTTTTTTTTTAATTGAAAAAAAAAAAAAAAATCTGAAAAAATTCGAGAGAAATTATTTATTTAAATTAAAAGTCGCCGATGAATCTTCAGTGATGATTTTTTACCTTTTCACGTTCTTCTTCAGACAAATATGAAGGATTACGTCCTTCGATATCAAGATCGTCAAAATTCTGCATTTCTTCACGTTCAATGATCAATGTTCAATTTTTCAATGATATTAGTCTTAATTCATTCTGAAATTATATATAAAGGTTTAATTACTGTTACAGATAATAAAGTAATAATTAACTTGACTAATGTAAGGGTCATTAAATCTAAACCTTTAAAACGACAGTCCTACTTACCGGATTTAATTCAGTAATAGTTTATTTAATAGTTACAATAACTTTAAGAGCTATTGTACCGGGATTTATTAGTAACTAATTGTTTAAGTGCGCTATTATTTTGTTCTGTAAGTTTTAATTGCGAGGTTTTAATTCATTTAATTACTTCAAGTTTGCTGGATTGATTATTTATTTTTGTATCAAGTTTTGGATTAAGGAACGCCCTGGGTTGATTAAAGATTTATTGGCGAGTAATTTAAGTTTGAGTCTGAGAAATTTTAAAAAGTTGAGAGAAGAATTTGTGATTTAGTTGGAACTTTACATTATGGATAAATTTAATTAGTAAATTTTTAGTCATTTAAGGGGGGAAATATGTGTAGAAGGCCGTTTTCATAAACATTTTCATTAATTTTTTTAACGTATAAAAAATTAATATTATTTATTGAAACTATCAGGTGATTTTATAGATATATTTATGAGTATTTTTTCATATTAGTCAACAACAGTGCAGTATGGAAGCCACAATTTTTATCTGAAATCAATGGCACAGAAAAATTACTTTTTTTATATGTGTATCTTCTATATGAACCTCAATTCCAAAAAAAAAAAGTAAAAATTTACATTTTTTAGAGGGCTGTGAAAAAAAAGTCGTAATTTTTTACCATTTTTTCATACATTGGTTATTAAAAAAAAATTGTTTTAATAAAAATATCGCATATAATTGAGGTTCATATTCAGCGTAATAGTATAAAAAAAAAAGTAATTATTTTGTGCCATTGATTTTAGATAAAAATTGTGGCTTCTATACTGCACACCAACTGCTAAGTCGAATGACAACCTACGATGTGTATCAGCTGATATATCCGCTACTTTCTAAGTTATATTATTGTAAAATATGAAAGAATATAAATATATGTAGAAAATAACCTAATCGTTTCAATAGATAACATTAATTTTCATACATTAAAAAATTAATTAAAAATCAGCATGAAAACCATAATACTAAAGTTAGTCGACGTTTTTAATTTTTTGATTTTTTTTTAATAATTAAATGAGATCAAAAAAATATTTTTTAAAAATTGCACTTACAGTTTTGAAAGTTTTTTACAAGTGAAATTTTTTTTTTCTTTTTAAATCATTTTTTTTCATTAAAAAAAATTTTTTTAATTTTTAAATGTCGGCTAACTTAATTTTCATATGAAAACGTCCTTCTACACGTATTTCCCCGCTTAATTAGAAATTGTTTTAAAATACTATTCAATTATTTCTTTAAGGCCATTCTCAGAGGGTACCCCTCTCTTTGTAAAAATATTTTTCGCCGCCTAGCGGTCAATAAAAGTACTAAAAAACCCTAGATTTTTCAAAATTTTAAATGAAATTTAAGATGGTATAAATGGTATATTTAAATAATATTATAGTTACAAAATAATTAAAAAAAATAAATATTTATTTTAAAATAGTTTTTAATAAAAAAAAAAAAATGGTAAAATGTGCTGTAAAAAAATAGTATTCTAATCGTGTTCGGAATGTCATTGACATAAAATATTTTAATAGAAAATAACTTAATAATCAGGTCATTAGATAAAAAAAAGTAAACGTAGTTATAATTTTAATAACCTATAGAATATATAAAAAATTACTTACCATTTCAAATAAATCGTAGTCAATCGTAATCTTGTAAAAAAAAATCTGAGATGAATCTAGTGGGTTATTTAATTTGACATATGTAAACAATAAACATGTATATCAGCAAACGTAAGTGTAGTAATTGAACAGCTACATTCGCGTTGTTATCAATTATAGAAATAATCAAATTAATCAGACTCGAATTCAATATAAGGAATTTATACTATCGAAGACCGTAATTTTTAATGAAATTTTCAGATTGTGTTAAATAAGGTCGTATAATTTTTTTTTTTGTTTTTTTTTTAAATCAACGTAAGTTTGCTTAGAACTTTAAGAAATTGAAAATAAAAAAATTAGAAAAACGGTTCACCCTAAAGGCCATCCGTGCAACTTCTCAAAAATGTTATAAATTAATGTAATATGTACAAATATATGAAAGAGATAAATAAAGTAAATTTTTAATTGAAATAAATTCAAGGATGAAGATAAATAAAATTCAATAACAATTTCAAAATGAACAAAAAAAACCATAGATGATAAAAACTTGATAACAAATTAATATAGTAAATTACTTTTGTATAGATTGATCAGGAAGAAAATTCTGTCTTAATGTTTTGAATCTTTAGTAGGTGGAATCGTTACCATCACTCAGAGAGAAGCTCTCTGCATCACAGTTAGAAAGTTCTCGAGGAAGCTAATAGATGACGTGAACATTACATACTGTAATAAAGAAACAGAATTTTGAAAATTTATGGCAAACAAAATTCAATTTTCCACTATTTTCTCTAAAAAAGATTTATAACAAAAATAAATACTACTCACAAATTGATTAAACCGCGAGTTATTAAATTTTACTTTTATTACTACATTTTTTTCAATAATTAATCTTGATCATGAACAAAAATACTTATATTATATTTATTATTATACTTATTATTATTATTAACAAGCAAAAATTATTTACCATCATAAATCATTGTATTGTTATAAAAATTAACGAAGTTTTAAAAATCAAAGTAAAAAAAAAATTAAATAGTTTTGAATATAAAAATAAATTTTGAATAATCATAGATAGATCAAAATAATCTACATTTCTTCCTCGAATAATACATCCACATGATTGGCGATAAAAATCAAAGATTGTTGGCGTACAATTGGTAAATTAATAGTCCTGGATATTTCCAATAGTAAGAAAACATTCTCAGATGATAAAAGTCTACTCAAAAATGCGTCACAGACACGTTTTAAGTCAGATATCAAATACATATCAGCAGCTTTTACTAATTCCAATAAAATAGCGCTGTTATCACTAGCTTTATCCAATTTACCATGATATAAGAAGTGAAGCAATTTGTTAACAGTATCAGAATCTAATTCTGGAAAATTGATACAATTTTCCTTCGATTCTTTCATGTCTGTTGTTAACATGTTCTTAAATACAGAACTGTTGGAAGCTAAAACGACTTTATGAGCCGGAAATTCTTCATTGTTTTTCACTCGAATTTTTACGTCACTAAATTCGACATTTTTCAAATAAGTTTCCATATTTTTATTTATTCTGGCACTCAATAAGTCATCATTAAAACCATACCAAATTGTCTCACAAGTTATCATTATTCTGTTTTTATAAAATGTTTTTGATGATCGTTTACGATATTCATTGTAGTAAGCATCATCATCTTCACAACACACATCATTGTCAACCGCAATTGAAAAACTTTTAAAGATAACATCGTCTGTCCAATTAGTAATGTATTTTCTTCTTATTTTAGATTCAATTTTTAATTCAATGAATGCAGTCGCTGGTTTACTGGAAAATTTGGTAACTTTAACGTGAAATGTATCGTCATAGTATTTCGTAGAACCGAAATGTTAAAGACAAATTCTGGACAGAAATCCATTTTGAGATTTTCAGAAGAAACCCATTTATTTTTCACATTAATTTCTAGTTCTTTTGTGAAGGACATTTTTTTAAATGATTGCGCGAATTCTTCACTCATCTTGACTTATAGTATCTATCAGGCTGTAGGCTACTAAATCTGTAAAATCAAAAAAATATAACTAAAAAAACGGAAGCCGATTACTGATTACGTTTTATTTAGTAAAAGACCTAGTTTCTGACACTGGCCTAGTTGTTTGACACTTGCAATTTTATTCCAATTAAAAAAATAAAATGTTCTTAAAAAACCAATTATTTAAAAGTTTATAATTCACAAATTCTATGTATTAATTTATTGGAGTTGGATGTTTTTTTAATTAATTAAAATAAAATTGAAAGTGTCAATAACTGGGTCTTTCACCTTATCCGGCGATAAAAATTTTTTTCAATCATATCAGAATAGGCAAATAAAGAAATAAAAACAAATATTTTGGCCATCAAATAGAAAAAAAAATTTTTTAGTTAATGTACGATGATATTTAAGTTAATTAAACATGAAATTATCGATAATTATATAAAATAAAAAATATTCACCTTTCATGAGATTACGATTGACTACGATTTATTTGAAACGGTAAGTAATTTTTTATATATTCTATAGGTTATTAAAATTATAACTACGTTTACTTTTTTTTATTTAATGACCTGATTATTAAGTTATTTTCTATTAAAATATTTTATGTCAATGACATTCCGAACACGATTAGAATACTATTTTTTTACAGCACATTTTACCATTTTTTTTTTATTAAAAACTATTTTAAAATAAATATTTATTTTTTTTCAATTATTTTGAAACTATAATATTATTTAAATATACCATTTATACCATCTTAAATTTCATTTAAAATTTTGAAAAATCTAGGGTTTTTTTAGTACTTTTATTGACCGCTAGGCGGCGAAAAATATTTTTACAAAGAGAGGGGTACCCTCTGAGAATGGCCTTAATATGAGCTGTTAATTCTTATAAAATATTTTCAAGCAGACATCTGAAAAATTTTTTATGTATAAATTGAAAATAATAAAAAGATTTTGGCTACTTTTTATCAGAACTTTGAGTTACAAATTTACGATTTTTTCGACAATTTTTAAAATTATAAGATTATAATTTTTAATTGAAAAATCTAAAAATATTTTTTAATTATTATACAAAAAAATAAATAAGCACCAAGTAATTTAAAAAAAAATTACAATTGTAATTTTTTAAACTCTTTTTAACTAGAAATTTTTAGACAAAATTTTTATGGAAATTTTCAGTTTCTGTTATCTCGTTTTTTGACATAAAAAATTTAAATTTAAAAAATAATTTTTTTTTATTGTTCTATTTATAATAAACACTATAATAAACATCTGATTGTTCAAAAAAACTTCTGAATATCATTTTAATGGGTGGAAATAATCCAGACTAACAAACTGAATAATTAATAAATTTTTTTATAATAATTTATTTGTTGAAAACAAAAAAAATTTTCAGACGTCAGCTAATTTCGAGTAAATTAAAAACTTGATAAAAATAAATTTTTTATTAAAATTTTTCCACCAAACTTGATGTAATAAAACAATTTGTTATATTGACAATAAATTAATCTCAATCTGAAAAAATGGAAATTTGTATTATTAAAAAATTTTTAATGAAAATCAAACATCTGAAAATTTTTTAATTTTTTTTAACAATTTTAAAACAAAAATAAAAATTTTTTTAATTGAACAGAATTTAAAAAAAAAAGTTTTGTAACAATTCACCTTTCAAAAAAAAATTGTCAGATGTTTAATTTTAATAATAAAATAATTTCGCACCAACAATAGTTACAAATAAATAAAATTAATAATAAACATTGTTTTTTTATTAAATGTAAATTTAATAAAAATGAAGAATTAATAATTTCATATATATATATTTATGAATATATACCATCTTGATCACAAAGATTAAAAAACTTAAAATGAACATAATAAATATAACTTTTAAACAGATCACAATTAAAAACTTTCGGGTAGTTACCACTTTACTTACCAATTAGATTACTTACAATTTACATGTGTACTATATTTATATATAACAAATAACAAATGCATTTCCACTGATCACGTTTTTAATATAAATGTAAAATTATGTGACAAAGTCAAAATTATACTTGTCGGAAATAGAAACAAACTGAATTTATAAAATTGTTTGAGGAAACGTGAGTAAAAAATTTAATTTTAATGTTTATTTACAATTAATAATTATTCACGATTTTATTTATTTCAATGTACCTAAATCGACGCCGAGTCTACTGCAAATAATTACATATACAAATATGATCTAATATGTGTGTATGTAATTAGTTTACAACAAAGTTCTAAGAGGAGTCTGTTGAGTAAGAAATTAACGACTTACCCTTTGATAAATTTAATGAATTTTTTTTTTTATTTTAAAATATTTATCAATATTGTTGTGTACGTTGATTTTGTTCAGGACTTCGGGTTAATATGCTGACCCGATTATATACGTCCATTTTGTTATTATTGGAAACACAATCAGAGAAGACGAGAAGCGAACGGTAGCGTGGTTGCGGATTTTTTGGGAAGCTCCCTGTTATTGACTGCCGAGATTTTTTTACGCGCGAAATTTAAATAGTGTTGTAATTTGCCAAATTGTAGAAAAAAATTTTTAAAATTATTTTATATTTAATAATCATGAAAAGGAAAGAATTTTTTTTAATATTTCTGAATTTAATGAGGTTTTAGTTTTCTTAAAAATTGAAAAATTGATGATACTTAATTTTTATGAAAATTTAACAATTAAATAATTATAAAAATAATTTTTTTAAATTATAGAGAGCAGATTTTTAGAATATTCTTTTTGTTATAATTGATTGGCTTTAAAAATTCAAAAAATTTGAAGATACTTGTTCATTGCGGTATCACAAATAAAAACAAAAAATGATAAAACCCCGAGAATTTTTTCCAAATTTTAATAAAATTGTGACATATATAAACTGACCAAGGTAAATTTTAAATATCCATAGTTTTCGTTAATATATTTAATGCTATTTTTAATTTTTTAATAATTTTGTATCAAATTTTTTTAGAAAAAAAAATAATTATCTACTGTACACACAGTAAAAAATTTTGCGTCATTGCGTCAAAAAATTTAATGTTAAAGATTTTTGTGTTAAATATTTAACACTTTTATGTGTAAATTTAACATTTATTCTGTCAAATCAATACAAAAAAATGTGAAATATTTAACATAAACTTTTTATAAGCAATGACGCAACATTTTTTACTGTGCACACTAAAAAATAAATTGAAAAATTAATTTTGATAATAAGTTAATAACAAACAAGTTACAAGAAATTAATTTTATTTATAATTCAATTTTAAATCGTTAAAATTTTTCGCGTATCGTAATTTTTTCATATTGATTCAAAGGTTATTTTTCAAGCTGGATTTAGAAATAAATTTTTATTTATTGCTGCTAAAAAGACAGAAAAATTGTCCAATTTCAATCCCAAAATTTTAATTATAACTTTACAAAACGATACTAAGCTGCAATTTTTTATTCCACAACTTCTCATAAGACAGATAAGAAGATTAAAAAATAAATTAAGTTAAAAATAGATTTTTTCAAAGTTATCATATTTATCCCTCCATAAAAAAAATCTACATTATAAACCATTAAAACTATTACTTTATGTACACATAGCTTTACTATGCATTTGAGCTCTTTGAGCTCAAAAGTCTGATAGAATTCACGCGATTTGCGGCATTCGACGCAGTTTTATTAGCCCCATAAAGAATTTTCAAGTTTGAATTGATCAAACTAGAAATTTCGGAGTAATTCTGAAAAAACACTTTTTTCGATTTTCTTTCGTTTACGATATCTCTCGAATGAATCAACCGATTTTGACCGGCTTGGTGGTGGTTGACGTGGTTTTTTGTTGCTTAAAGCTGATTAGTTTTATGAATCGATCGGTGGAGTCATTTAAAAGTTATCCAAAAAAACCACATTTGAAAAAATTTTTTTTCTTAGTTTTTTTAAGATTCCTCAAAATCTACTCGTCCGAATCGGTCCCAATTATATTCAAAATCTAAGTTTCGTCAAGCCCTTTCAAATGGCTCCAACCGCGATAAAATCGGATAAGCCGTTCAAAGGTTATAAGCGGTTCACATACTTTCACACACACATACACACATGCATACATCAGACATAGTGACAACCTCGGGGGAGTATTCTGGGAAGCTTCCTGTAACCTTCAAACGTCGAGATCTGATGAAAACTCGATTTTTGCAAAATAGGGTAAAATCAATATTTTCCCGATTTTTGAAAATCTTCGATTTTCTTAGCGAGAAGTTAAAAATTTACTTGAATCAAGTTAATAATTTTGAAGAGTTTCGACTTTTTGATTTGAGTAGAAAATTTTTGAAACTAAGAATAGAGACTTTTCTTGTTTTAAATAAATTCGACTTAATTCGAGAATTTTATGTCTTGATTCAAGACAATAAAACTCTTCAAAATTATTTTCTTGGTTCAATAATTTTTCTCTTGATTCAAGTTAATTTTTTTTAGTGTAGAAATAGCAATCAATCGACTTGAAAACAAATTTTCATAAATACAGCGATCATTTTTCTTTTTGTAACATGACAATCTATACAATATAACTATTAGGTGCAATTTAATGGTACAATAAAACTATGAATTTCATCTTATAAGAAGAGAAAAATCATGTAATGAAATACTATAAAAGTATATTTTAATATCGTATGTGATTATTCAAAACCCAGAAAATTTTGTTGTATTTTACTACCCATGAGTAGTGAGATTGGTGAAATGGAAGGTAATATAGCTTTATTAAATAAACAGGCGCTTTGTTAAGGTATTTAATATGCCTCTATGTACTACTAGAGTAATATTGTACCGGTGTAAAAGGTAAAAGCTAAGAATTTTATTCACCATTAAGCTTCCACAGCATTATGAAGTACTTTATACCTTTTCTCCTGAGTAAGTACCAGCAGTAACCACCCCTATATTGAAAAGTAAAACTTAACATGCAGTAAAATAAATTCCCCGTTTACCCAAAGTTCGTTCAAGACACGGAAGAGAACAACGGACTGTGTCAGCCATTTGAGATCATCTTTGACCAAAATGGCGTCAAGCGTCTGGTGACGGATCGCCAAATTAAAGTCTGTCTACGGAGCTTGGTATGGGAAAACGCGAACCGGTTCAACGTGCTGTAGGTCAAAAACCTCGAATAAGGCGGACAATTGATCCCTACTGTAGAAATTACCGTGCATGGAAAGTGCTTCGCGACGATTAAAGTTAAGATAGAGAAGGTGAGAGATTGCCCTGAAAAATTGGACGGCTTCAAGATCGATATCGAGAAAGGGTTTCAAGTCATACAGTTCTTCTGTGAGAAAACCCGAAATACCAGCTCGTGTGGGGATGGAAAAAAAGTCCTAAAAAATCGTAATTACTTCTTCGTGGTCAATTTTCTAGATGCATCTACTCTACACAGAAAAAATTATTTTCTTGAGCGAAAAAAAAATTTTTTTTTGACACAAGAAATTTCACTTATTCCAACAAAATTAATTCTCTTGCTTTAAGAAATACGTATTTTAATCCAAGAAAATTTATTTAAGTCAAGAAAATCTTCTTGTTTTGAAAAAATTCAGCCTCTTGCTCCAAAAAATTAAATATAAAGATAGAAGTTAATTTTCATTAATATTTTTATTGATTAACATGTCGAATGGGAAGATCAAATAATATTGAATCAGTTTTTTTCATTCAATATGTATAATTGCACGCTAGAATAATATAAAAAGGGTATCAAATATTCAAGAGACAATTTTTTTCAAGGTAAGAAAATTATTTTCTCAGCTGAAGTAGGTGGCACTGCTTCCTTAAAGTATCTAAAAATATTGATCAAATATAAAAATTTATTGTATCAAGTATTATTGATAATTTGAATTAAGAAAAAATTACTTCCACCAAGAACAGAATTTCAAGAAAAATTTTTACATCGGCCAATACAACTTCGGTCTTCCTTCAGGCACCCGAAATTTTCTTGAGCCAAGAATTTTGTTCTCCAGTCCAGTAATTTTTCTTTCTGTGTAGTATTCCTACAAGAAGTTTTAATAACTCTGAATAACTCTTCTGGCAGAGTCCCAAATCTTGTAAAAAATCTGACTTTCTAAGTCAAATGAAGAGTTTTTCCGACTTAATAAAACGTTTTCGGACTTTTTTTTAGAAAATCAAAAACTTTATGAATTATTATTGGTAATTATTTTAATTTTTTTTCACAGTAATTTCAGAGTAATTTTTCCACAAAGATATTGCAAAGTCGAGAGATATTCTGTAAGAGCTTGAATTTTCATCGCTGTTTGAAAAATCGGTAATTTACTGGACAATAGTAAAAGATAAAAGTGTTGATCATAATCGGTAAAATTTTAGACTTATACTTAAATTTGGCCAGACTGTGGAAAAAATTGCACCTGTTAAATATCTATAAAATATTTTTTTGAATAGTTAAAAATGCTTTTTATTTCTGTGAATTCTCTGTTTGAATAAAACTAAATATTTTCACTCAAATTTAGGCTAAAAAAAGTTTTTTAGAGTAAAAAAAAATACCCTTTGTAAAAGAACTTTGTCAGCCTGTTATTTTTTTCGTATCAAACTGTCAAACAATATTTGTTTTAACTGGAAATAAAAATAAATACACAAATATAAGTTATAATCAATAAATATTTACATTACAAAACTGATATCATGTGTATTTCTATTTGTGCGATGAAATTTCACCGTTGAACAGTGGACTATTTAATAATTTACAACAAAAGCAGTACAATTATGTTAACTCTAATTATAACTCGCGGTTCCTCGAATCGATAATTTGAGCGCCTGCTCTAAAAATGTTTCCTGTTTTCAGGCTAATTTTTTTCGATTTATTTCGTATGCTCCATATATATTCAATTTATTGTGATGAAGTTATTATTATAGTATTATTGTATTTATTATTATATAAGAAAATATTTGTGTTACAAAAATTTTATAATAAAATATTTTTCTATATTTAGTCATTATGTGTTATATAGACTAAAATGTATCAAAAATACAACAAATTATAGTAAAGCTAGATATTCTTTCATTAATTCATTGTAAATTATTATTATTACAATGTGAAAAATCGGGAGTGAATTCGGATTGAATTTTCACTCTCATAACTCGAAAAATTACCCAAGTGAAGAAATAAAACACTGCGTACAGAATAAAACGAGAGTTTTTTTTTTTTAAGCGGTGTGATTGTAAAGTGAATGTGAATTTTTAATCGTTTTAACATATTCAATTACTGAGTTTTGAGATTAAAATAAATTTTTATTAGCTTAAACAAATTTCATATGCTATAGCATTTTTTATATATTTTTCATATTTACATATATATAATATATATAAATATATGAAATATATGAAAAATTGATGTGGGTACTCAAATGAAAGGTCTCGATGAGTATAATGTCGAGATGTGCTTATATCTTAAAAAATGTCAATAGTTCACAAAATTCAAGGTCATTTCTTAATTATGTATCTAGAGATAGAGCATTTTTGAATGCAGCCTAAATACTTATCATCATAAATTCAGTGCTTACTTTTACTGAATAACTTATAATACAATTGGTAACTTTAACTACTTGTAATGGTAAATGTAACCATCTCGATAGTAAATGGTACGATCGCTCTATTTTAGGAATTATTATTTTATTATTGTACTGATTGTAATTTAAATTGTTATATTTATCATTTCAACTTTTGTAAAATTAATTACCATCTAAGATAGTAAAATCTACAAAACAAGTATTGTTAGGGTTAATATAAAATTCTCTCCGTGTAAGTTACTAACAATCCTGATTGAGAAATCCAATTTGAAATGATTTAATCTATGAAAGGGGAAATATCTATTGTTTCGAATAATTTTTAATAATTTTACGTTAGATTTCATAATTAAGGAAATATTTCAAAAATTTTTTTCAAGTTTCTAAATTTTAATTATATTCTTCCAAAAAATTTGACTTTTGAAAAATTAAACTAAATTTTCATAAAGATTAATTTATTTACAAGTTTTGCTGATAAATCCTAATATAAAATATAAAAAATTATAAATTATTAACATTTCTACATCTAATTTATTTCACTTATTTATTTATTACCAGGATATACAAAGATATATACATACATACATAATACATTTAATATATAATACGCAGTGCATGTACCTATAGAGGTGTGAAACAACACCTGTACATAGGCCTGGCTAATGACTTATCCTAAGAAAAGAAACATAACTTATATTAGCATCCCTCGACATATAAATAGGGTGATGTAGGAACACGTCGTATAAAAGGATCTTTACTATTGAAAAGTATACAAAAACAAAAACAAAAAATACGTGTATATATGATGAAAATACATAGTCTAATTTTGTAAAGTGGTTGTCAACCAGTATTTCAATTTCTTTCTTATTATTTTATTATTTAGATTTAGCGTTTTTAGATGAGCAGGTAATTTATTGAAATATTTTATCGCAACAATGGTGGAGTTTTTAAATGCTATTGCTTTGTTAACTTTAGGTATTATTAGACTTTTATATCTAGTAATTCCTTGATGAGTCTCATAATTATTTTTACAGTTTACATAGTGATAAGACAGAGCCTCAAGGATATATGATTCACTTATCCCTAATATAGAATTGTCATTAGAAAAAATATTTATGAGTTTGTTTTGGATTCTGACTAGAATGCTCTTAGTGGTTTTGTTGCATCCACCCCAGGCTATTATTCCATAGTTCACGATGCTTTCAAAGAGCGCATGGTAAATAATTTTCAATGACTTTCTACACATATATTTTTTTAACTTGTAAAAAATAAATAAATAGAATCTAACTTTTCTTATTAGGTTCCCTATATGTACATCCCATTTCATGTGACAATCAAAATATAGTCCTAAATATTTACAGCTATTGACCCTTAGGATTATCTCATTATATATTTTTAGCTGGAACACTTCAGGTACACTATCACTATATGAACCAAAGGTGACGTAGGTGGTTTTATCTATATTTAATGTTAAACAGTTTCTCTGTAGCCATATTCCTATCTTATCTAAGTAACTGGACATATTTTTTTGTACTTCTGACCAAGTTTTGCCAACACATTTGATCACCGTGTCGTCAGCAAACGCCGTGTCGTCAGCAAACGTAATTAAATTAAATTAATTACTTTAATGTCAGTCAAATTAACTTTTATATGACGATTTTTAGGATTTTTTAACAAATAAATTGTTATAGAAAAAATTAAAAAAAAAATCCCATTTGTTTAAATAAAAAAAAAATTATGTAATTTTTTTTAATTATTAAAAATTAGTTATATCAAACTAAGAAAGAACGAGTAATTATTTTTTTATTTTCATTTCTAAAATAAAAGTAAAAAATATACTTCACGAAATTTTTTTTATTATTAATATAAATAAAATCCTTCTCGAAGTAAATTTTAAAGAGTGAACTTGAAGTTCAAGACGAATAAGAAGAATAAGAAGAAGGAGATAGAAGGGGAAAAGGAGGATAATCATCAGGTTGATGGTTACCCAGTTCAGTGGTATTTCCGCATAAAGACCGAGACCTTGAGCCGGCAAACAAGTTGGCGTAAATCATCAAAGGCTACTGTACCTTTTATACCGTACAGTATTGTGTATATATGCTGTGTACATAACATCGATATTTACACGTGTGTTGTCTGTGCGCTATTGTAGATGTCCCGTTGTTGTCATAGCGTGTTTACATTAGGTGACAGTGCTAGGAGATAAGTGTGCAAGTAACGAGGAGGGACACAATAATTGGTGTGTCGTTAGGCCGTCGTTGGGGTTTTATTCTACCATGTCCCGGTCGACTGCCAGGATATCATCGTGGTTCACTATTATTCAACTTCTCGTGGCGGAAAGTCAACAGTGGTCCATGTTCAATATGTGGCCTGGCTTTGGGCAATCTCCGCTCGAGTGGAGCAACCATCAAAATATTCAGAACCAACAAATTCAGCCCAGAGGTAAAGTACCCTATTAATTCTTCTGGCAATCTCCTATCTACTTAATCACCGACCCAACATTTGTCCGGTCGTTTTGTTTTGGTTTCAATACACTTTCAAAATTTTACATTTCACTCTACTCTTGAATTTTTAAAACACCGGTCAATTTGTAAATACTACGGTTTGACGAAAATCCTAAAAAGTCGTACTGAAAAATTTATAAATTAAATCAATAAACTCACCTAAGAGCTTCAATTAATAAATATTTTTAAAGTAATGCAATTTAATCGGAACAGAAAGAAAAAACTAGGTTAAAGTAAATATTTCTCTTCAAAATTTCAGTTCTATTCCAAAATATTTACATCTTTTAATTAAAGACATTACTCTATGTATTGGACAAAACAAAAAAATCATTGGTCATCTTTCAGAAATCAAGTTCATGTTTGACAGAAAATTTTACCATTATTTTTGCACTGAAACCAACAGTTTTAGTGTTATACACAAAATTCAATCAAATTTTTGAAAGATTAAATTTTGATCGTGAATAACTTTTAAATGCGTGGACTCATCAAAAAATATTATCAGTCCTTTTTTGTAGAGCGTTCAATTCTCTACAAAAACTATTACAGCGATTTATTAGTTAATTTGTCGTTCAAGCGGTATAAAAATCAGAAGAAGCAAAAATAATATTTCTCATGAAAATTAAAAAAATGCGATGAGGACTATCTTAATATTAATATTCAGAGCTCAAATTTTAACTGGTTTCTTTTTACACCAAAATAAAACTTTTGAGCCTGTTTGGAAAAAAAAAATATATTATTTTTCTTATATAAAAATAATTTTTCTGTGATAATGTCAGGATTATTTTATATAATTAATAATTTTATTAATAAGTTAATAAACAATTTTTTAATTATAAGAAACTAGTTGTTATTTGATATCTTGAATATTTCATAATTAAATTATCAACGAAAAACATTTTTAGATTTTCTACTAAATAAAAATCTACGTAATAAAGCAATAAAATTAGCTTTCTTTCTACGAGTTTTCTTAGTTCATGAACTTTTTTCTTCAATGAAGATAATTTTTATTTCTATGAAGCTTTTCATATTCTTTGATGATTAAAAATACAACAATGTCTCTTTCTGCTTTCCAAATTTCTCGACATCAGTATATGAGCACTCTTTTTTTAATCTCATCATTACGCCTTTGGCGCGAAATGCCACTAGATGTCATAAATTCAGCATAGATCCTAATATAAAATTGAGATGAAATATATGTGGCATCAAACTATTCGTAACGTGATTGGTCGAATATATCATAAGCATGAAAATATATGCAAACTCTATAGTCAAGGCGCGCGCTTGCGCGCGAAAATTAAATTCTAGTCCCATAATAAAATTGAGATGAAATGTATTATATGTGAAACCAATTTATTCATGATGTGATTGGTCGAAAATAAATATTCTCATTCTGATTGGTTGAAAGTGAATATAATATACATAAACGACACATAAATATATCATGACAATAAATATGACGCGCGCGCTTGCGCGCGAAAATTAAATTCTAGTCCTAATATAAAATTGAGATGAAATGTATGTGGCATCAAACTATTCGTAACGTGATTGGTCGAATATATAGAATGATTGGACGAATATATCATAAGCATGAAAATATATGCAAACTCTATAGTTAGGCGCGCGCTTGCGCGCGCAAAATTCAATTCTAGTGCATTTAAATTTAAATCCAAAGCCTTTGAATTCTTCTATGAGCTTGAACTCAGGGAGGCCTAGGGATCAAAGTCTGCAAATATAGTAAAATAATTTATAGTATACATTGATATGTACAAAAACAAAACTACACTGCTAAGATCTATGGTTGTTTATATTTTTCTTTTTTTATTTTCTTTTGTATATCTTCTATTTATGCTGTCATTTTGAGTCACAATCTTTCATTTTGAAAATGACTATGTTTATGGTTTTACATGTACTTTAATTATATTCTATTGTATTTTTTGCCATCTGGCTTTGGCATTTAAATCTGAATAAATAAATAAAATAAATAATTAAATGATTAGTGAAATGTGTCTAAGTCACTTATTTAGCGCTTTATATTTTAATTTTGTACTTATTATATATCCAGAAATTTGTGTTGAAAATAGAGAAAAAATTACCAGCAATTTTAACCAGATTACTACACAGAAAAAAAAATTAGAAAAACGGTTAACCCTAAAGGCCATCCCTGCAACTTCCCGCTAATTCCATACCTAGGCGCTTAAAATTGGACTTATGACGTTTTCGAGCTCTTCGAGCTTTTTACGAAACACGATTTTTCTAATTTTCAAACTGCTGTAACTTTTTATTAAATCAACCGATTTTCACGCGGTAGGCGGCGATCGATGTGGTTTTTTGAGCTCTATAAATGATTCTGAACAAAAAAATTGATCAGATGAAAAATTCCGGAGTTATTACAGAAAAACACTTTTTTCGATTTTTTTCGACAACGATATCTCACGAACGCATCAACCGATTCTGACGCTCTATGTGACGATCGATGTGAATTTTCAAGGTTAAGAGCTGATTAGTTTTTGAAGTTGATCGGTTCAGCCAATTCGGAGATATTTAAAAAAAATAAAAAAAAAACAACTTTTTTTGTCACTTTTTTTTGCAATTTCTCGAAATCTACTGGCCCGAATCGGTTCCAACCTCCAGGAAATCTAAGTTTGGCGAAGCCCTTTCGAATGACACCTACCGCGATGAAATCGGTCAAGCCGTTCAAAAGTTACGAGAGGTTTACATACATACATACATACATACATACAGACGTACGGACATCATCGTGAAAATAGTCAGGAAAGCTTCCTAGGACCTCGAAACGTCGAGATTCGATGAAAACTCGATTTTCGAAAAAAGGGGTAAAACCAATAACTTCCCAATTTTTGAAAATTTTCAATTTTCTTAGCGGGAAGTTAAAAATTAACTTGAATCAAATAAATAATTTTGAACAATTTCATCTTCTTGATTTGAGTAGAAAAATTTTTAAACTAAGAAATTTTTTTTGGTTTACGTAAATTTTACTTAATTCAAGAATTTTTCGTTTTGATTCAAGACAATGAAATTTTTCAAAATTATTTTCTTGGTTCAAGGATTTTCCTCTTAATTCAAGTTAATTTTTTTTTTAGTATACAGTAAATAAAACTGAATTTATCCGTGTAAATTCTTAAACTCTGTTAATACTGAAGATTGATAAAACAATTTAGTACTGAGTTCCGGGTATATCCATTTATAAATTACTGTGGAAGATATTAAACTTAAAAATGTCTCATAATAAACACATGCTTGTCAGCCGAGACGTGCACCTTCGTCATGTTTCGTGCTCCAAAGCGTTCTTAGTGAGTACATAACTTTGGTTAGCTTTGAGTTTTTAAATAAAAAGTTTATAAATAATTGTCGGTAAGAAACTTTATTCATACTCTCTGAACAGAATTTCAATGAGTCAAAAGTAGTTTTTCAAATAGTGTTGACAATCCAACAAATATTCCGTCTTTGCAAATGTTTATTGTAATTTTTATGTTTCTCCGTCAATAAACGTTTTTTTGTATTTCATTTAAATTGTCAGGAATTAATTTCTGTGTCTATGATAAAACCAAATTAATTTTCTAAAAATTATTTTTAATACCGAAAAATATGTTTGGAAAATTTAAAACGTAATTTCTATCTACTCTTCCAATTGTGAATTCGAAATTGGGCAGTTGAAAGTCAATCATAATATTGTGAATAATAAAATTTTTATTTGAAAAGCATAAATTGATTCATTTTTTGCTAAATACTTGAAGCTCTTGATGTCTCTGAAATATTACATTTTTCAATCAATCAAATAGCTTTCACTCCGAAGAGTATTAGCTGTACAATTTAAACAAAAAATAAAAAACTAGAGGATTAAATTCTCTAAAGATCCAAATGTCTCTACAAACGGGGACAATCAGTTAAATAACACAATAGCTCAATAAATCCAATCACGAATTTAAAATAAAACAACCGTTGATTCAATACCGGTGTATGCTGCTTCTGTTACTATTTTATTTTTATTATTATTATTATTATTTAAATATTATGTTTTGTATTTTCATATCCCGTGTACTCGTACACGAATTTTTTCCACATAAATAATTTAAATATATTGCAGTAGTTGCCTTAACTCACGTGAATCTAAATTAATTTTGACTGTTTTTCCCTGCGGCCGTTCTGTTCATTGGTGTTTGAATAGTTCCTTCGGTTGCATGCTCCTTCTATTTTATTTTACTCCAATCACCCGAAAATTTAATTGTACCTCCATAAAGAAAATTACTTTTGCCCGAGTTAATTTTTTAAATCCATTAGTTAAATAGAAATCTGCCACGCGTGACCAAAATTTTTAGAAAAAAAAAAAAACAAAATAAAATTCTCTCAGATTAATAAATTATTTGCACACGCGCAGACTTTCAGTATTTAATTTATAACTTTTTAGTGAAAAAAAGTATGATTACACTTAGTATTTTTGCACTTCATAATGAGAAGCAAACGCTTTAGGTTGTGCATTATTTTTTTCAATTTGTCAAAGCAGAAATGATTCTATATAGTTTTAATCGTGGGTATTAAATATTGCACTTTTAGGATAATATAAGTGTACTAATATTAATTAAAATAATTAAATTCATGAGAAAAATTGTCAGACTATATATTGTAATTGTGGGACGCTACACGGAAAAAAAATTGTAGGAAAAATTAAAATTTTAACATCGTGATTCAGGACCAGATTTTCAATATTTTATAATTTTACATTTTAAAATTTACGATGTTACATCGTAAAAATTCGGATATTCATTTCTTTTATAGGAATTTTTACGTCGTAAATTAAAAAATGTAAAATTATCAAAATGACCCCGTTGAAAGTCTGGTCCTGGATTACAACAATCCAGGACAAGACGTCAATAATTTTGAAGAACTTCATCTTCTTGATTTGAGTAAAAAAACTTTTCTTGGTTTGAGTAAATTTTACTTGAATCAAGAATTTCTTTCTTGATTCAAATTAATTTTTTTTTCAGTGTACAACTGTAATTTTTCTTACACTTTTTTTTCGTGTAAGATGCTGCTTTACTGTTCACTAATAACAGTGATACTTTTTAAATAAGTTTAAGTAAGTAAAATTTACTGGAGCTTCTAGTAAATAGAATTATTATCGAAAATATTGTAATCAGTGGAATATTATTGTTATTAATTTTATAGGTTTTATATTTTGAAAAATTAAATTTCAATTGAAGGGGGTATTCTGGTCTAGAAGTCTAAATTTTAGGCATTTTTCAAACTAACATAAAAAAAATTGAAAAACATTTTTATTATCCATTTTTCTATGATGTTTATTGACATTTAAAGAATATAAAAAAAAATTAAAAAAAAAAAAATGAGAAATTTCAAAAATTACAGGCCGATGAAGTGGGGGCTACAAAAATAACGGTGCACCCTAGTTGACATGATTGCAGCCCTTGTAGTGATCTGAAACAACAAAATTTGAAAAATTCTCAATTAATAAAGATGTCGCTATCGCGTTGACCTTAGCCAGAAAAAAAAAAATTCACAAAATGGCGTCGACATGAAATATTAATTTTTTTTTACTCCTTTTTTTTGACCTTTTCGAATTTTTTAAAAGTATTTCAAATCAAAATTTTTCAAAATCCAAAGCAGACGTGATGGATAGATAGATATATAAGGAAGATTCCCACCAAATTTCAAAAGAATCGGTCGGGTAGAACTTGAGATATCATGTCAACCACTTCAAAAAAAGTAGTTTCTAGAAAAACGCGTTTAAAGTTTGAGAAACAATTCCAGTAGAGTAACTCGGATAATAATATTTAATCCCAGATCCATACATTGGGCCTTCTTCTACTTCATACTTAATGTTTTGCACAGTTTTTTCTGCTAATCGAGCTGTTCTGCCTTCTTTTGAAGAAAAAGAAGCTCGAAGTTGTGTGACTCGCTCCGATCGGCCGGCTTAGATGCTGCGTCACAAAATCTACTGTATCTCCGAAAATAATTCGAGTTTTGAAAAATCCATTTAAGAACATGTTCTTAAGGGTTTAAACTTTGAAATTATGAAAAAAGAAAAAATCGATTTTTTCAAATTGCTAGACAAGAATAGGGTAAATGCACCAGTAGTTGACCGATTAAGGATTTTTGGCATTTCAATTGATCGTAATTAAATTATTATACGCTAAAAAATAAAAATTTTAAGTTTATACTCCCTAAAACTGAATTAGTGAAAATTCGTCAAATAAGTGAATATTCACTTAACTTAAGTGCCAATCGAGCCACTTTTTCAAGTCAGTGGCTCGGTTCTCACTTAAATAAGTGAATATTCACTTATTCATGTTTAGAGAGTATGAACCTTAAATATTCAAGTTTTTGATATGTGAAGTTATTTAAAATAATTATTCATAAAATTACATATAAATTCACGTTTAAATGCAGGTAAGATAAAAACACCAGTAGTTGACCGGCTTGATCCAGTAATTGACCGAGGAGTGTTCCAGTAGTTGACCGATTCTTAAACATTGGTTATTATGTAAATTTTAATTAGTTTTTTATGTTTAGTATACAATGTTTTTATGCTTATTTATTTAAATTAAATTTGTATTGGTAGTAAACAAAATTCGTTTAGTTTAGAACAAAACTAATAATAATAAAAAAGCAATAGATTAGTAAATTAAACTTCGATTCAATAATGACAAAAGCAAAATATTTTTTTGAGGCACACGTATGCAATTATTAACAGTTTATAAATTATTGACAGTTTATAAATTATTTATAAAATACGATTTATTAAGTGTTAATGAATATTTGTTAACTTTTAACAAATATTTATTTAAAATGAAAAGCAAAAATAGCAATTTTACACTTTTTATAACCCTACAGCTAATACATGATAATAATTCAATTCACTAAATAAATTAACGTTCTTAATAATTAAAAATATAAAAGATATTTGAGCTGTGATAAAATTTGTTATGTTACAGTAAACGTTATTATAAAATAATGTAAAGCAATAATGTATATAAAGCAATCATTCATAATATAAGTATGACATTGCAAGCGAAACACAAATTCACTTAACAAAATATTTATTAACTGTTAATAAATATTGGTTAAATATAAATAAATACTTATTAACTATTAATAAATGTACTCTTTTCTCCTAAATAAATTAAATTATTAATAGCTAATAAATCCTTCTATCGGTGTACAAATTTAAACTTGACTCAACAATCATCTTATTTGAAACACATTATAAACAATAAGCATAAATACTTCTTTATTATTAATAATTATAAATTATTTTAAATAACAACACTTATGTAAATATAATATTATTACGTAAATATATTTATATTTTTATTTTATATAGGTTAGAAACTTACAATTGTGCATGCGGTCAACTATTGGTGTTTTGAAAAATAGCAGGTTCCAATAGATGACCGAAGTCATTTATTGATGGTACAACGGTGTTTTATTGTGCCAGTATTTGACCGGTCGTTAAATTGGTATTTATTTGATTGTTTTTGTCAAATCTTATTGAGAGATTTGTTAAGAAACTATTAAAGACTACTTCAGAATTTAATTTGGCAAGATTAACCTAATGGAAACTTTTTTGTTAACTAAAACATGTAGTCGCCTCTCGGATACTCTACTATAGTATTTGACCGATTTTAGTCAGATTATGCGGTGAAAAATTTTCATGAATTATTTTCGATGTTCTAATAATTAAATAAAATCTGGAATACCTATTCATTGTAATGATTATAAGTTTAACAATAGTTAAAAATAAATTTCAGGGTCATAAAAAATGCAGTTAATAATAATTTTCGGACTTTTTTATCAAAGCGGTCAATTACTGGTGCCCGGTCAACTACTGGAACATTTACCCTACTCCCTTAATATGATAAAATTTTTAATTAATTTTTTTGATTTAATTTCAAGTAATAGTAAATAGTTACAAAAAATTATGAATCTAATTAGAGCACATTTCTACAAATAGAATTAACTGTAATTCATCAACAAATGATTACCAAAATGTGTAATTTTTTACTTCAATAAATTTTGAAGTAATTTATTGTAATTTTTATTATTGAAATAGTAAAAAAATTATTATTCATCTTATTATTTATTTTTCCCCTTTATGATTTTTTACTGGACACTACATTTTATTTGAGGATAGTTATTAAAGGAGTTGTAATTAGATCAGAAATTGCGGATCGTTCCACAATTATTGTAATTTTTTAAGAAATGTTTTTTGCTTGAGATAAAAATTTTCCTTCTTTTCATTTATCGACAATAGTAAATTTTTCTTTGCATAAATTTTTAAGTCAGTACAATTTATTTTTCATTAAAAACAGTAATGAAACCTAAAAAAAAAAGTTCTTACCTCAGACGTAATAAATAAAACCGTATTAACTTTTTTTAAACAAATTAATTTAGGAAATAGTAAATCCCAGGCAGTTATAAATAACCATTAAAACTTTTTACAAATAATTAATCCAAGACACGGTTCTTTATAAGACCGCGTACTTAAAAAGCTGAGGAGTACTGGAGCAGTAAAAAGTTTTTAGTTTAATTAATGACATTACAATAATTAAGTACGGGCTTTTATAAGCCCCGTAATTTTAATTACCACGCGAAGTTAAAAGTTATATAACAATCATAATTATCATTATGGTTATAATGTAATATATAACGTGTAATACCAGTTAAATGAATAAAATTTTCAAAATTACAGTTCTAAACTTTTTCCCCGTTCCCGTGGAAGAAGAATGCCGCTCGGAGGATCAACGCCGACGTGGAATATGCATGAACACCTACGAGTGTCGAATCCAACAAGGCAAATCACACGGACCATGTGCTCTCGGTTTTGGTGTTTGCTGTGTCTGTAAGTTTTTTCAAATAAAATATAATATTATTCATAGATTCGTCCCACGTAATTCTGTTACTATTCTTACTCAAGAGTTGAGTTCTGAATAAAATTAATTTGATACAATATAGTTACAAATTTTCATGCGAAAAAAAACTAACCATTTTAGGAAAATATATAAAGACTTATAGATAGATAAATTAGATTTTGTCTAAAAAATTGGAGACATAATTGGATTGTGTGATGAATTTGTCGGTAAAAATTTTTTTTGGTTGACACACGTGTTGCTGTTATGGACGTCTGCATGCAAATTTAGATTTATATTGAACTTCCGTCAATGTGTTGCTATTTTTTTGTATTTAAAAAAGTGATTAAATATTTCACGCGTATTAAAGAAAAAAAAAAAAAAAAAAGAAAAAAAGGAAGATTCTAAAGTCAAAACGATTTAAAAAAAAAAATAAAAAAATTTTCGTTTATAAAATACAATATATACAATTATAAATCAATTTTACATCTATTGATTAAGTATTGTTTTTATATTTTATTTATTACAAGTTTTTGTTATTCCTTCTGATTTTAAATTGAGCGTATTAGTTTATTTTATCACAATATTCAGTATATCTAATGAAGTTATTTGTTAATAACAGTAAATTTGGTTCTATGTAAATATATTAAACTGTCTCTTTATAACTAAATAAATTTGTTTATAAATAACCGATCGCACTAGTGCATAATAATTTCGATGAAAATATTAATATTAAATCTATTTGTATATCCACCTCTAAATATTTTTTCTTATTGCACGCCTCATAGCGCGAAGCGCGTGAGGTTGTGCTTTATACTCGACTCAAGGTCAAGCAATTTTGTGATCTTTAAATGCCTCTATCACAGCCATATTACACTTATACAATACGGCTGCCCAATTTCAAAACACAGTAACTAACATTTTAAAATTTTTTCTACTTTTTCTTATTAAAAAAAAATTTACCCGCCAAATTGATGAAAAATTTGATTTATGAATAGAAAATACATGAATATAAATATTTTTAAGAAAAAATACTTGAAATTAAGGTCTAAAAGTTATAAAAAATGCAGCAATACTAAAAAAAAATCAGGTATAAAAATTATGCAGTTACTGTGTTTTAAAATTGGGCAGCCGAATAATAAGTAGATGTACACCGAGAAAACACCTAAATTAAACCATCTTTTACTTTCTAAAATCATTTCATGTTGCTATTTTGAAAAAAAAAAAAAACATTTTGAAAAAAATTTTACGTGGACGTTCTGATGTCACCCCATTTTGGATGTACCAACGATTACTTCCGAATAAATTGATATTTCAAGACCGGATCTTTTTTATTAGTTTAAGAATGCGATGAACTGGATCCGTATTTCATATCAGTAGCCTAGTTTACGTATTTTTTTTTTTTTAATTCAATTTCTATTAAAATTTACTACGGTACAACCATACAAAGACAAACGAACTTTTCTTATTTATCACGTGAAAACTATGGCGCCACTTGATCAAGCTAGATTTTTTCAGACTGCGTGCGCATATGACAAGAAAAAAAGGCGCCGATATTTAAAAAAAAAAATACTCTGTAAGAAATTACTTAATTATAATTTTTTTTTTTTTAATCAATTATTCAATTAATTTTTTTCTTAAAAAATGAATGAGCGTAATGAGGCGTGCACTTTTGGATTTTCCAAACTTTTGTCTATTTGTAGTAAGATTTTAATCAGCACCAGTACTATCTTAAATGTTTTGATAATTAAAACCCTTTTGAAAATAAAATAATTGTCTATATTAACGTTTTCTAGGGCGTCTGTCGATATCCGCAGGTCGCGACGTGTTACAAGTGTTAATAACCGACAAATTAACCGCGGTAATTCCCTGCTCGACAATTATCACGCGCTCTTTTAATTATTGACTGAACAACGAGCTCTTGTTACTTTATCGCTCCAAGTTATTGGTGTCATTTATTATATTTTCAAATATTTATCGTTTATCTGTCCATCGAATCGGTCAGTCGTTCGATCCCCGAGAGCAATTGCGATAAATAAATAAACAACCAGAATACAAATCGATATCGAAATATTTCGGGTGCAGATAACTGTCTCGGTGATGTTTAGCTCCGTCGAAAAATAATCTGGTGGGTGTCACTTTTAAATGCGGCACAATTTTGAGCACCAGAGTCTCTTTATTTATTAACTTCCTCCCGCTTTATTTAACAATAATGAACCAACTAAAGACCTATTGTACCGATTTTAAATTTTATGTGCAAACATTTAAACAGCTGACTCATTATTTGTAATAATAATCATCGACAAGCAAGCTTCCTAATGCTTTAATAAAAAAAATATTCATCTAATTAATTATTTACTTAGTAAATTTACCAATTGGATAAATCGAGTCCCAATTATAACACTCGAATTAACTCTGCATGAAAATATTCCTCGATAAACCCATTCACCCATTTATCCGTCGTTCCGATATTTGTTTTCCCAAAATCCTTCTGCTCATTATTGTTCTTTCCTTGCAAAACATTTAATACTCAAACAATAATTAATACATAAAAAAAAAAAACGAATCACAAGGTTGTAGTCGTGTTTTTAATCCCGCTATCGAATAGCTCATTAGAATGTCTCGTTAACACGGATTAAAATTTCCAAATCAATACCTGTATAAATAATAAAATAAATATCCATTAATAATTAATAATCTGGCGGATAAAGCGACTCACTTTGCTTTTAAAATAAATCTATAAAGAATTTATACGTGTTGCTCTTGCACAAACACATATTTGTACGGATTGAGTCACGTACGAGTATGAGTATGGTACAACCGGATCGAAAGTACAGTTAGTTGATTGCTCACTTTTAAAGGTTTCGTTATTATTTTATTTTGTTTGCTATTCCATAAACTCGGAGAAGAAATCTATTAAATTCAACTTGGTACTTATTTAATAACAATAATAATAGTCATTTTTTATAAAAAGAAAATAAACTGTTAGCCTTTAAAATGTTCTATCTACAAGTAATAAAATTAAAATTATATACATTAAATATCCCGATAAAAATTTTGATGTGGCAGTCAGAAATTTTAATTGGCAAATATGAATACGAATTTATGAACATGGCCTGTAAATTTAAGAATAAAGATGCGTTTAATGGCGTAAGTATGATACGAGTATGAGGGAATAATTAAATAAATTATTTCGTACGGTTTTTGTATAGTCACGTATAGCCAATTAAATGGGCGATGGGTGATGGCTGTTATTAATAGACGACGCTTACCGGAATCCCAAGAATTTAATTGTTTTTAATTTGAATTTGATTCTTGCGAGATAATGACAACTGTCAATTTTTTTTAAATCATTAAATGTCATTCCCTTTTTGTTTTCGACGAAAAACCGCTTAAGCTTTTAAATTCTGGGTGATAACTCACGTCTTATCGTATCAGTCTCTAAAAATCAATTTTTAAGCTCTGCGTCTTTATTCCAAGCTCCTCTGAGATTTTAACGTCAGATTCGAAGACATCGAGTGTAAAAAACAAACTGTCGAAAAGTTTTATTTTCCGGTAAACTTTGACAGTTCGTAACATGCTTTCCAGTCGAGCTGATAAATTTTTCAAAAACAAGATTTAACCTTTAAGAGTGGTATTTTATTTATACTAAACTTCTAATGTATAGATTTTTTACGTCCGCTGTTTTGTCTCACGAATTACGCCCTGAGGTTTGATTCTTTTTTTTTGACTTGATTTTTGAAAAGAACTATTTACAAAAATTTTTTAGGCTGTTGAATTTTGGAAGATGAGAATCTAGATTTCAAGATTTCGATTGAATTTTTTTTTTTCATTTTGATGCGACGATTTGGACCTGAGTTACAGTCGGTTGAGCATTGATGATGAATTTTTAAAATTTAACCATTATGATTCATGTTAATTTTCTGACTTTAAACTGTGTAAAAAATTTTTTTTATGTTCCCAACAAATTTTTTTCAAAATTTAAACCTTTCAAACTTTAAATTAACCTTTTGCCGATCGAATTATCTCCATTCAATCTGAAGTTATAGCCATTTAAACATTTATAGTGAGAGTTCAAAAATTAGTCATTATGATTCTTATCATTGTTATAACCTTTGAATATTGAGTAAAAATTTTTTTTTCTGTTCCAACAAAGTTTTTTTAAAACTAAAAATCTTAAGCTTTAAAATAAACTTTTGTCGATCAAATTATACCCATTCAATCTCAAGTTATAGCCATTTAAAAATTTATATTAAGAGTTCAAAAAATAGTCATTATGATTCTTATCATTGTTATGATCTTTGAATAATGAGTAAAAATTCTTTTTTCTGTTCCAACAAATTTTTTTTAAAACTACGCAGAAAGAAAAATTTCTTGACTGGAGAACAAAATTCTTGGCTCAAAAAAATTTTCGGGTAATTCTAGCGTACCGACCGATAATTTTTAGTCTTAGTTACTATTGAGTGGCGCTAATTATTTCTCTGCTGGCAGTTTATTACGAAGCGGACCTAATGTTAATAAAATAACAACAACGCTATAAATAAATACTAATAAAAAGTTATTTACATTTTCTGGACGTTAGCAAGATTTTAAGATTAATAAAAAGATAATTAATATAAAATTAATTTTTTTTGGCCTTGTGAAACTTCCTAAAATTTAAATATGTCATTATTTGCCTCCTATCCCTCAAAAGTTAAACTTATGGAGCGATAATAACAAAAAATATTGTATGTCATTCGGTCGTTTAGTGGCGATTTTGACAACGACTTTTTTTCGATATTCGCTTTAATGTTTGTGACGCGAATGTTCGAAAACGAGCGTAAATTTCCGTCCTCGGCTACGCCTCGGACGTTAAAATTGCGCCCGTTTCGAACCTTCCCGCCACAAACCTTAAGCTCATATCGAAATATCGTCGCTGTCAGAAAACCGCCACTTCACGGCCTTATGACATAAATATCTATTTTCACTCAAGAAAATAATTAGGAAGAAAAATATTTTCTTAGCTCAAGTGAACTTTTTTTTCTGTGTAAAAATCCTAAGCTTCAAAATAAACTTTTGCCGATCAAATTATACCCATTCAAACTTAAGTTACAGCCACTTGAACATTCAAAATAAAAGTTAAAAATTTGGTTTATTAGTTATATTGCGAACCCAAATGTCCCAAATTGTCTTCCTTGTCTCTTTTCCGGCATTTACAAGTAATCATCACTCAATATAAACACTGTGTACCTTACACCAGTCAAAAATAACAAACCGACCCCTAAAAAACAAAATAAATATTAAATAATAGTCCAAACAAATAAACAATGAACTTTCTAACCTTTGGGTGGCATTTGAAAGACAATGATAAACTTAACCCAGACAACCAGTTAATACTGTGGAGGTTCATGACCGGTTTTCTAGTTACCTATGAGAGTGTGGTAATCTCCCTCTTGTCACCCTCAGATCGAGCATCAGCAGCCGAGTAAAGTGCCTTTGTTGATGTGATGCTTTCGGATCTCTCGACAGTAGGTCTCCCAGGTCGACACTTGTGACATTTGGACGCAGCCACCGGGGAAATTTACCTTCGAAATGTTGAGCTTTGAGGGTTTCAATGCCACCCCCTTAAGGTTCTTAAGTTAACTCGCATATTCTTTTACTTATTTAGCTTTTATTTTTTGGATTTTTTTAGAGTATGCGCTGGTAGTTTTTGCCTTTACCTTTACTTCAACACACATAAGCTCTTACTTGACTCGACTCACCCTCTGAGTTTTATGTAGGAGCTGAATCGGAGCTCGTGCATTTTTAAAAGCCAGTTTTGTTTCCCCTTTGCCGCGTGCAAATATCCCTCACCGGGTCCAAGAAATTATGAATTAAAAAAGGTTTTTAGCTGTGGCGGAGTATCACAAGGATAAATCATGAATAGACTGCTGGAGGGAGAGACAGAGGAGCCGTTTTTTTAAATTAAAAAGAATAAATGATAAAATAAAAAATAGGTTTAACCACTGGGGAATCGTTTGGGAATGCATGAAGAGTTAAGGACCCACTTGCAACGTTTCTTTCTGATCCGTGAATTGCCGGCTAATTTTACCCTTTTCTTTTTCCAGTCTTTAGAAATGATAAAAAAGTTTTTATTTTTTTTTGTGCTGGGAAATAAAAATAAAATGACCGTGGGATATTGATCGGGATGTTAAGACTGAAAGGGATAATATGCGTTGTATTTATCTTTACAGTTCAACATGTTCATTTTATTTGTTTTATGGTTTATTGAGCCGTTAGCGAATTCACGGTAAAAACTAGGTCATTGAAGAATATTAATTATTTATGTTTCATGAAGTTACAACAGGCTGCGGGGGCGAGGTGATTAACAACTTGACGTATGTGGTGAGTCCTGGGTTTCCAAATCTGGTCGATCAGCCTTTGAATTGTTCAGTGGTCATCAGAAAAATCGAGTCTCAAGTCAGTCAGATGAGAATTGACTTTATTCACTTTAATATTGTAAGATATTTTTATATATTGTGGAGTAATATAAGTATTTTTTGGCTTTTTATTTTTGTTTAATGATTTATTATTATTGGGGGTCCATGATTCTTGATACCCCGACAAAACATCCCCGAAATAAATATTCCCTGACAAAATATTCTAAAAAACAATAATCCTAGACAAAATATTTTAAATAATTAAATTTTTCAATAAAACAATTCAAAACAATAAATTTGAAAAAAATTATCAAATTTATTTTAACACTTATTAATGTCATTTCAGCAAATATTCGTAGTATGACTTTAGAAAAATTTAAATATTGATTATTAGGTAACATTTGTCAACTATTACAAAAATGATCATGATTTAGTTATCACAAATACAACAACATGAAATTAATTGATAAATAACAACGAATACCACAAAATTAATTGTTACAAAAAAATTAATTATCAATAATACTAAAAATTATAATATTTTTGAATATTGCAAACGTCAAATATATAAAATAGAATTTGATTTAACCAAAAGATGACACATATATAAAAAATTATTTATTTAAATGTGATTTTATGTGAGTTTATTCGACAGTAGACCAACACATAAGTTTGTACCGTGTTGTGCCTTTTCATCATGGATTTTGTGTGTGCTTATTCGTCATTATTAATCTGAAAAAGATTAATATTTACATATTTAAATATTCTGTCGCAGTGATATTTAGCCTCGGGGATATTTTGTCGGGGTATCAAGAATCCTGATACCGATATTATGATTCAGATAAAAAACACTATTGTGAAACTATAACTCGCTAATTTATTAGTGAAATTATGACTCATTAAGTCATTGAATAAATGTTGTTCCGCTAGTAAAATTATGAGTTAAAAATTCACTAATGAAAACATGAGTCATTTAATCGCGAGTAAAAATTGAAAAATTTATGGTACTGATTTACTAGTAAAAATATGACTCACTAATTCATAAATGAAATTATTAGTCACTATTGTAAATTATTAGTTACTAATGAAAATATGACTGACTCGTTCATTAATAATGATCCACTAGTAAAATTATGAATCATTTATTAACTCGTGAAATTTTGAGTCACTAGTAAAAATATGATTTACTAATTTACTAGTGAAATTGACTTACTAATTCATTAGATAATTTTTAATATTGAAATTATGAGTCACTAATTTAATCGTGGTATTATGAGCCACCAATTCATTAGTGAAAATATGACTGACTAAAACAAATATGAGTCACTTATTCACTAGTGAAAACTTGACTTAACAATTTACTAAAGAAAATATGACTCACTAGTTCATTAGTATAAAACATGAGTCATTGATTTACTAGTGAAAATATGACTGATTCGGAAAAATGTAACTCACTAATGAAACTATGACTGATTAATTCACTAATGAAATTATGAATCGCTAATTAACTGGTGAAAATATGACTCACTAATTAACTAGTGAAATTATGAGTGACTAATGAATCAGTCAAAATTTGACTCCACTAATGAAAAAATTAATCACTAGTTGAAATATAAATGAAGATATGATTTACTAGAAGAAATATGAATCACTAAGGTAAAAGTTCCTATTATTGACAGGGTCCCTACTATTGACACCCTATTTAATTTTATTATTTCATTCTTAAAATCTGTTAATAATCACAATTGTTGATATTTCATGACAATATTACATATTTTTAAAATTAAAAAATATTAAAATTTAATTTCAAGGTATAAACTATTTACCGCAAAAAAATTTCATTTTTTCAAGTAGGCCAAAACTGCTCATACGTTTGTAATTTCTCAACAATATTGTTAAGAAAGACCTTATTCTCAAATCCAGATTTCTCAATGTTTTTTTTTTATGTAATTGCATTGTTTAAAATTATTTTAGATTATTTATAGTCTAAATAACCATATAATCATTTATTTATACTTTATCGAGTTAAAATTAATTTTAAAATAGCGGATGTCAATGATGGGGACACAAAAATTAATTTGCGTCAATTAACGACATAGGTCATAATGTAAGGTAACTTAACTCCCTCAACATACATGTAAACATATTAATGTTTACATACTGTCATGTGATTTTATAAAAATCAAAGTATTTGAGAGTAGAAAAAATTGCTAAAAAAAACCTGGTAAAAAATATAAAAAAGCTAGGTCCTAAAAGAATTTTAACATAATAAAAATTATTGATAGTTTTGCATTAGTCAGTAAAAATGATTATTGTTAATATAAATTTAACTGTAATAAAAGATCTGTCAATAATAGGGTCAATGGTATGTCAATAATCGGCTCTTTGAATTTTTGCGCTGTCAATAATACATACATTCGACCTGTTGGTTTTAAGTTGATATAATAATTATTAAATTTATTGCTATTAAAGTTAATTAATTAAATTACATAAGTAAAAACAATGATTAAGATGTCCTATAAAAAAAAAGTTGACAATATTGATTTGAAACACGATACCAAAATTCAAATATTTATGATCACTCTTATAGTGTCAATAATGGGAGCTTTTACCTTATCGAAAAAATGACTCACTAATTAACTAGTGAAACTATGAATCCTTATAAAAAAAAATGAGTCATTAACTTACTTTTGAAATTATAAATCTCTATCATTAATTTACTACAGAAAAATCTAACTTACTTATTTACACTCCGCGACAAACGTATAACCCACCCCTCCCCCTCCCCTAATTTTTTCATATCTGATAAAGAATTATAGTTATATTAATATATTACTAATACACAAAATTTGGGTGTTAGTAAGTTTATTATACTATCAATACATTATTTATTAAATGCATAATTAACCAAATACAAATGCTATTGGGTTTTGCAGTGCGACAAAAGTATAACCCAGGTAATCAAATTTAAATAAAAATTCGAGAAAAATATAACAAACAATAATCATTCATATAATCTAATATTTAGTAGATCCACCACTTTTACTTATCACCTCAATCATTCGGTCCGGTAAACTGTCATATAGCTTTTTAATTACGTCTTGATTTATATTTTGCCACTCGTCAACTATGACCTTTTTTAACTTTTCAACAGAAGTAAATTGTCTTGATCCACGATAGACAGCTGGTGATAAATTTCCCCAACAATTTTCAATTATGTTCAAGTCAGGAGAATATGCTGGCCATTCAAGAACTTGAATATTTTTTTCACTAAAGTAGTCTCTAACTACCTTTGCTCGATGGATACTGGCATTATCTTGTTGAAAAATAAAATTAGGACCAGCAATTCGCACTGCGTGAGAGTTAATTTGCTCGTTTATTACTTCTATATATCGTTTATTACTAGTTATTTTTCCAGAACAGAACTTAATATCCATTTTACCTAAGTATCCAATGCCAGACCATACCATTACACTACCACCTCCGGCTTGCCGACGGCTCAATATAAAATGATCTTTTCTTAAATCGTAAAAATAGTAATTAAAACCATCAGGTCCATCCAAATTAAACTTCTTTTCATCAGAAAAAATAACTTTTCGCCACTTTTTTTTTCCATTGAACGTGATCTTTTGCAAATTGTAATCTAACTAGTTTATGTTTAGCAGACAACGGTGGTTTTTTTGGTAATTTCTTACGTTTTAAATGTTCACACTTACGTATAATGCGTTGAACGTTTCTTAAATTAGTACTAACACCAGCCTCCGCTGCGATTTGTCTTGCGGTAAGCGTAGAATTTGACGCAACTCTTAGAATTGACCTTCTTTCTCGTGGTGTAGTTGCTCTCGGTCGACCTGTCCGTTTTTTCTTACCATAGTTGTCGGGATCTTTTAAAAAATTTCGCACAACACGATGACTTCTGTTGATGATTTTTGCGATTTTGGCCTTAGAATAATTTTCAGAATGCAATTTTTTAATTATATTAATTTCAGTTTCGTTTAAGTGTTTTCCCCGTGGCATTTTAAATAAAAAATAGACAAATATTAACTTAAACAATTTATTTATGCGTAAGAACTTACGAGTTACACGAAACAAGTATAAACATGAATTGACATGTCCAGTGCACCGAGCTGCTTGAGCCAATGAGACGAATGGGTTATACTTTTGTCGCGCTATCAAACCAATAACTTCGCCGCTGCGTAACAAACCAGCATCGAAACGTAACTATATATATACCATAGTACTAGAATCAAGAAAACAATGCTGGCGCGTTAGGAATTTATTTACTTGTATTTAGTTTTACAGTAAATATAAAAAAATTCGAGGGGTGGGTTATACTATTGTCGCGGAGTGTACTAATGATCAAGTCTGATAACCATAATCGAATTAGTATAAATCATCTCCCTTAAAAATTACAATCATAACCTCATTCATAAATGATATTCATCTCTAATCACAATTAACACTCTAAATAAACGACTTTCCATCCGATTTGATCTTCCCCTCGTTAAATTTCTGGTTATCAGTGTCAGTTATCATAATGATTATTAGCTCGGTTATCTCACGGTGAAACAGTCGAGGGTTTTTATATTAAAACAAGCAATAAAAATCCAATATGGGAAGATATTGATCGACGCAAAAAATTCATGAAACGAGTGGAGAATAAGAGAAGAAATAAAAATTTGTATTGCACATCCTATCCAGGGTCAACCGAATCTACGGACTGGCGTTTGCGACGAGGACGTTATGGAGATCACCAGCGATGTGCGGACATTCCAGCTGTGCGGTTGGAATAGCGGCCAGCATAGTAAGTATCTTTACGTATACAATAACAACTACAATAATCATAATTATTTTTACAAATATATACCGAGCTTAACGTTTTGCATCTCTGCAACAAAAAAAAGTAAAGACTAGAACAGAGGTGGTAATGATTTCGTTAAAACTCTACGTGAAATAATAATGAGACTGCCTTATTGCATGAATTATTTATTTCCGCATCTTGAAGAAAGATAAACATAAACATATTTGTATTATTTTATATCCTGTGAAAACAAAATATGTATGCTTTTGTAATAATGTTCCCTTCTTTTATTTTACTCTTGTCTGGGATTGCAGGCTTACTACACTTTAGTTTTTAGTAGACGTGCGATACAAACAAATAGAGCTTCGTGCTTGAATATCAATAAGGAACAAATGTATCAATTTATTTCCAAAGAAAACTCCGAAATTGTGAAACCAACAAGGAAGCTGTTAATATTTCTTGGGTTTGTTACAGTTAGGAATTTATTTTTTATTCAACAGTGAATTCTGAGTGGTGCTATGTGCGGCTAGAATCCAACCGAATGGTGTAGGAAGCACAAATAAAATTCTGAAAAATCGAAAATTTTATGTCCCAAGCGCTCTTGTAATATTGAAATGGAATTAAAGTAGATAATTTTAAACACACTACACGCGTTTTTAATGCGAGCGCTAAAAAGGATGAAATACAAAATTAATCTTCATCAATACTTGATACACGGAAGAAAATTTTCTTTAAAATTTATGGTTCAATTCATGAGACAGATTGGCGGACTGTGTTGTAATATAGGGAGCTGCTTTACTATTTATTAGTAACAACAATACTATTTATAGTTTATGTGAGTAAAACTTGCCGGAGTTTTTAGTAAAATAAAAAAATAAATTTCTATGCAGCTTACCGCACAAATCGAATTATTATTGGACTTATTGTGATTACTGGAAAATTGTTATTTTTATAAATTTTGGAAAAACTAGATTTTAATTTAATAATATTATATGTTTATATTTTTTTGATTTAATTCATTTTTTAAGGTTATTTAATCTGTAACAATATATTAAGAATAATAGCTAATTATAAAAAAAACTTACGAATGTCAATAAAGTACATTTTTACAAATAATATTTAGCTAATTGCATAAAATTTTATTAAAATGATAATGGTATAAAACATTGTTTAAATGAACTATAATTCAGCAACAACTGATCATGAAATTGTGTAATTTTTTATGCAGCGCCCCTTCAAAGTCGGTGGCTAATACCGTTACTTAAATTGATTTTTGCAGAAGACTTCGGTAAATTATGTTAGTAGTTTCAGTAAAAATATTTTATTTTACGGAAATTTTTAATAATAAAATAGTAAAAAATAATTATTGATCTTATTAATTTCTCATATTTATTATTTTTAGTGAAAAAATAAAAAATGTTTTAATACAAAATTAATTTGTTGAAAATTCTAAACAATTTAATTTCATAGCTGAAGAAATAAGTTTTTCTTACAGTAATTTTCTGCTCAGAAAAAAGTTTGTTTGATCTAGAAAAAAATAATTTTAGATAAACTTGCGAATTTTTATCCAAAATTATTCTTTTCCAAATCTAGAAAACTTTCTTTCAACAAGAAAATTACTGTAATAAAATTATAATTTTTTCAGCTTGGAAACAAAACTGTTTGAAATTTTTAACAAACTAATTTTTTATCAAAACATTATTTACTTTTTTCCAAAGAAATTTTTTTTCTCAGTGTACTTTTCGATATTATCTTCCATTGTCTTTGTAAATAATTATCACAAGAATTGTGTAATTAGATCAGAAATTCCGGTACGTTTCACGATTATTGTCAATTTCACGTTAATTTTTAAGGAAAATTTCTTTCTGTGTATTTTTTTGGAGCTGCAAATCAAATTCTAATTTATCTTCATTTTTAAATTGACATTACTGGGCTAAGATTATTATGGCGCACCCAGAATTTCTTTTCTAAAAACCAAGTTTTTGATTTCCTCGAGTTTAATAATAACAAAAAATTATAGTGAATTATTATGAGGGACATAAAAAACACTATTATTAAGAAAAATGATTAAAAACACTCCCGAATCGATTAACTAATATTTTGATATAAAAATCATACATAAACATATCAGGCCATATCAGAAAATTTTTTTATGGAATATAGAATTTGAGAAACAAGATCCCAACTTTTTATCACATTAAATCATATCTGACAGTTATAATAAATATATAAATGCTAAAAAAGCACACCATTAGAAACTATAATAATTACTATTTAAAAAGTGATTTTAAGATAATCATCAAGTCAATTTCAAATGTTTGTAATAATAGTACCGCGAACAGACATAAATAACATCTGACGTCATTAAAATCGATCAACAAAATACCTTATTTATAGTATAGATTTACACGAAAATAAATAAAATAAGCTCGAGAGAATTCTCGGCGCACAATATAATAGTGCCTCAATTTTATCTGATTTTGTCCATCGTACCCTCTACAAATAACCGTAGCTATAACATAGCACATAGAGGAAGGGAAGACACCATTCCGGACAGGAAATAGAATAATATATTCTTCTCAATTACTTTTCATTTAATATGAATGCGTTCATATCCTCTATACTCGCTTATTGAATTTTAATATATACATATATATATATTTCTGTCCTAGTGAAACACTACCCTCGTATTCTCATCTGAATTCGAATACATTATACATTTATTGCTATACATATACACCAATCTACGAATAACCTTAGTTTGTTCACCGAGAGCTTCAGTCCGACATTTTTCTTTTTTCTCCACTATATTCCTTTCAATCTCACTCCAATGGGTTCCCAATTCTAAAGAACCATTTCTTATTCAAATCATAAAGGGGCTCGTATCATCTTACATTTATGTTATTAATAGAATAGCCTATTTCGAAGAGAGCAACTTGATTTCTTCATATTCAGCTCTGATTTTATTAAAAAGTTCTTGTTTTATTCCCGAAGAAAATATTGAAAATTGTAAAAGATATTAGATAAGACAAGACCCGACTTTTGCTCAGGACGTTCTAACTATCAGCGGCGGTGATATATCGTCAAAGAGTTTTCGATAGGAGATTAAATTCTGAACAAAAAAGATCTGATAAAATTTTTCGGTATCTCCAGTGGTTCGGGAGATAATGACGGCCCATTAATGTACTAATGGGAAATTTAACCAAAAATATGTGAGAAAAAAATTTTTTTCTATTTTTAAAAATCAGAAAAGGGAATATTTATTATATTTTCGTCGATAAATATGAATCAGCTGTCTTCAAGCAGTATTTTGAAATAGATTTTTTATGGCTGCTTAAAAGACAGAAAAAATATTTTGTTTTCTTTATATTAATTTTTTCGAAAAATTTCTGTATTGATTTTCTTGAGCAGTAATTATTCACAAAACTTAATAATTTTTTTGATCTAATTATTAATTTTTTTTAAATCAACAATTTAAAAAAATTAATATTTCACAAAAATTATCTTTATATTTATTCTATTATTAAAATAATTATCAATATTTTTTCTAATTACCAATTTTTCAATCAAAATTACTATTATTTTTCTTTCAACCTCTAATTTTTTAATTGATGAAATTTTTTTTATTTATCAGAAAATGAAATCATTATCCATTAAACAGTTCCTTAAGTTAAAATCACAAGAGGTTAAATTTTCCCTGAAACAATAACACTTCAATAAAATAAAATAATTCGATTAAAAAGGAGCGTCAACTGCATTGTAATCTGAGAATTGAGAAGCGTAGTAGAGCATAAAACAGAAAAATCAATACCCCGAAGCTTAATATAAATTAAATAAACAACCCCAATCTTTCTCTCCATCAAAACATCTAAATATCAACGTTCCAATAACTCAGGATGACGGTAACAATATATTTCAGTGTACGTGGACGTAACCGACGGCCCGGTGACCCTAAATCTGAGGCTGCCACGGAATCTTCAATCACGTATGTGGGAGATGTCCATAACGCAATTGCCATTCGAGCAGCGAGCACCGGCAGGTTGTCTCCAGTATTTCACCGAGCCTAGAGGTACCGTGAAAACCCTGAATTACTTGCCGAACGGGCGGTACCTGGCCAACCAGGACTACCTAATTTGCATGCGCCAGGAAAAAGGCTCATGCAGCATCGCCTATTTTCCATGCTCCAATGACTCATTCCGGATTGGTCCTTCGAGGTTTCGCCGGCAAACTACGATGGATAACTCCACTGGAACTGGTGCCGCCGATCAAGCCTCTCTGGATGATGAAGGATCCGGAACGGGACCCGTTGATGACGCTATTGTTGACGCAGCTCCAATACGTCGGTGCGTCGACCGAATTCTCATTCCCTGTGATTTCGAGGAATTCATTACGGTAGGTCTTAACTAGATTACTGTTATTATTCATTGCGGCTCTACTATTATTAATCTTGTCTTAGGAGGCTTTTATATTTATGTCTCTCTGTTTTCAATAGTTCGTTTGCTTCAAAGATATTCATTTTACTGATGAAAATTATGCTACCAAGTTAGAAGCACCTTTCCTTGACGGGGTGACAATTATTGAGAACCTGTTTTATTTTAAGATTTATCTGATTACCTTGTATGTTAATAATAATTGTAACCTTCCCATTGATTACGAAAATTTTATAAGTTAACTAGCTGTTACTCGCCCGCTCCGCTGGGCACTTTATAGAATTGCATTATTAGATCTAGACTTGAAATTTAATTCGAGTATTGTTTTGACTTGCACAGATTTCAAATTCTATCGAATTGGCATGTACCTTTTATCCATGTAATTATTCTAGCTAATATTCATTGTAACTTTCAATGTGCAATTATTATAACATTCCCGTGTCTTTCTTACAAAAATGAATAGGGGAGGCGGGAGCAAAGTGGGCCCCTTAAAGAAAAAATGGTCATATCCGTACTTTTTTTTCACTCTTTGCACTACTTTTTAGCCCCTTGTTTGTAATTCAACATTGATAAGCTGTGTCCATTAAAATAAAAAAATCTAGAATGTGGGGCAAAGTGAGCCCCCTCCAAAAATCTTGTCATAAACATTTTTTTCGCACATTTTGAAAGATTTGAGTTATGTTTTTTTTTCAGACGAGTAAAACTTTCGCGCATGAGCAATAAAATGCCTTTTTCGACTAATTTTTTCTTGATCCTATCACGAAAATTTGTTCGACACATCCTAAAATAATTCTCTGAAAATTTGAACCTTCCAATATTACTATGAAGAGCTTGATCAAAGTTTGAAAAAATTTCCCATTAAATATACGAGTAAAATTCAAGTTGTTTCCTTAAATTTTCACAGCTCAGCAACATTTCAATTAAAGATGGGTTATTTTACTTAGAATTGAATGCTCCACAAAACTGCCCATCGTGGCGTAATCGTAACTCACACTGGCAAGGGAGTATGGACCACCAAATCCAATTTTTTCATAAAATTTACGTTTTTCTGTCCTTTTCTCATCACTGAGAAGAATTACGAAAAACAGTTGAATGACTAACTTGTAGTAAATTTTATTTTCTACAAAAAAGATCCTAAGCACTAACTTGCTAACATCAATATTTCAGGAGATATTTACGTCTTAAATTTTTGTAGTTTCAAATTTTTATCGACAATCACTTTCAAACAAAACTGTTATTCTTTCATTATATATCATTACGTTTTTAATAAATTACTTCTTTTAAAAAATTAGGAGAATTACAGAAAATACGGGGTATTTTATTTATCAAAAGATGTTTTTAGAATTTTAAAAAATTTTTTTACTCAACCCAAGAAAGAATGAATTTAAAAATAATCGGCTTTTTTATTCTCAAATAGCCATCACTTTTTTAAAAATTGATTATCCAGAAACGTGTCATATAGAAAATTTTCGTTTTCAAATGTATTTTCCAAAAAAAAAATACCAAAAAATTTTCAAAGGTTTTCAACTTTCAAAATTTTCAACTTTCAGCGAAGCTATAGACTTAAAAAAAAATTTAATAAAATCGTTCCATTAATAATCTGCTATTTTTTAATATGAAGAAGCGTGTAGCTTCACTGCGAATGAACCTATTAACTTATTTCTTTTCTTTTAGTCTTTGTTTCTCATTACCCTTTACGAAAAAGAAATAAAGCAAAATTTGACGAACCGTTCTTTTTATTTTTTTTTCCTACTTTTTAGAATCAATGACAATTTTTTTGACAAAAACCACTTTTAATCATAATCAAAAGTATAAATGATTTATTATTCACCTTTTTTATAAAAAATTTCAGGGGGCCCACTTTGCAGGTCTCATAAGTGAAGAAATCTGCCTAGTTTATAAACATAATCAATAGAATTAAAAAATAACCAATTAAAGAGCATTACCGACGGCCAGTTAACGAAACAATGGAATATAGTATCAGCTGTCTTCAAACTGTATTTAGAAATTAATATTTATATGGCTGCTAAAAAGGCAGAAAATTTCTCCAACTGTCAGCTGAAAAGAATTAAACTAAATTGTATTAAGCTGTAATTTTTATTTACAATTTTTCATCAGTCAGATAAGAAGATTAAAAAATTTATTTTTCATATTATGCATTAATTTAAAATATTCGTACAAGTAATTTTTGAAATCGTTAGTTCAAATATTAAATATTTACCAAATAAATTACTCTCTGGAAACTTTTGAATGTTACTTAATTACTCGAACTACCTCTTTGCAAGCGAAAACTTTGGACTACTTGTCGCCACCTATCAGCTATTGCGGAACTATTCGTTCGACGGATTGAATCAATAATTGAAATTCACATTTCTCCTTTCTAAAATTTGTTTAACAATCAATAATTCTCAGTTATAAACACTATTTATAAAAAGTTCCAAAGTATTCACAACGATAAAAAAATTCTGATTTTTTCCAACTTTTCTTTCATATCTAAACCCCAACTAAGATCCTGACAAGAATCCGCAGGTGGGTGAGCCGTTATTTACTCATTGTTCAGCCTAACAAAAACTCCTCATGGAAAATTAATGGCACCTTTTTCTTTACTAATGTACCTTCTTTTTTCGTCTCCACCGAACTGGAACAAAAACCATGTCACCTCCAACACTAACGATCATACATTACTATATAACACGTGTTCATCAGCCAAAACAGCCGTCGATTATTGAAATACTCCAGCGAGAAGTCGTTTAGTAACATCCGTCAATTTCGTTAAATTATCAGCATTTGAAAAATGTAATTTGCCGAAATTTAAATTTGCCAAATTTTCCAATTGTGGTGTTAAACCGATGCCTTGCCGAAATTTAGTAGCTTTTGGATTATTTCATCGCTGTTCTGCAGATGATGATGAATTATTCAGAGGATTTCGATCGACAAGGCAAACATTGTTTGCTACAATTACGTCACAGTCGGTACATTGATGAAAGCTCTCGCTTATCCATTAATATAATGGATCAAATCTTAATTTATGAACCAAAATTACAATATGAAACAGAATACAGAAAATGAACAAGGGCTTCTTCGATTAAATTTACGGGATGCTAATTTTTAATGGCAAACACTAAAGGGCAGTCACCGTGCAATGCAGCTACATTCACAGTGGCTTTGAGTTGCATCTAGGTTTATAATTTGTCAAAGTGTATGATGATATTGCGACACGGAAATAAATTTTCTTTAAAAATTACCGTAAAATCTCAGTAATTTAATAATGTTCCACAATTTCTGGGCTACTTTCAATTTTTTTAATAATTATTCTTAATTACAATATAAAATACTAAAGAACAGTATTTATTATGGTTTGATGAAGTGTACTAGTAAAAAATAAAAAACATGAAAACGTAATAATATTTCATTGATCCCAATATGTTCAATAATAATTCTTCTCAATGTGTACGGGTAAGCTACGTTGAAACTTTTTTTTTTTTATCTTACCGGAGACTTTGGTAAATTTTTTTCACAGAATATTTAAAAATCATTGCTGTTACTTCAAAATGGCAGAGAAACCCCTAGCATTTCACAATAACAATACAATCCGGAAATTTTTCTTATGAATTTAACAGTACAAATTTAAACAAAATTTTTTTCTGTGCAATAATTGCAAAATAACCCAGTGTTTATTGCTATTAACAAAATGTTCCTATCGAATAGTAAATAGATAAATGGATTTTCTATTGAATCAATCGCAACTATGACTATTGTTACTGACCACTCAGCTATTTAGTGTTTTTAGTAACTGTAGCTGGAACAGAAGTAGGTGATGTAAATGGTTAATTTAATAATAAAAAATGAAATTGTTTCAGCCGGGGAACGACGGCGCTGGAATATGCGATATGGAGCATTGCGGAACTTCTCTGTGTATGACGAGTGAATTTGATGCTGACGGTAATTGCCGAGTTGAAACATCAGCCACTCCATTTAACATCAGGGTGGCGTTTGGGATGGGTGATCAAAACAACACGTATCCTGTTGACATGACGGGCATGTGTCTCAACTATGAACAGCTTGAATGTGCTTCGTAATATCCTAGTCTTTAGTTATTTCTATTTATATCTCTCTTTTTTATAAGGACTGTGATTTCGCTCAAGTTGAAATGCTCCCAGATGATTATGCTTCAAGCTTAATTTTACAGTCGTAGTTAGTTGTTAAATTTTCACATGCATGATAAGAAGTGTAATAGAATAAGTTTCAAATGCAATTCTTGCCATTTACACGATTTCTGTTACTCTTATTACTACACTAAAAAAAGGTTTTTTCCTCCCAGAATACAAAGTATTATTGAGCGAATGTTCTTACTGAAAGGAAACTGGTATAATCCCCACAGCAATACCAAGTTTAATCCTGGGACTATTACTTCATGTGACTATAGTACAGCAATAGTAATAAAAGCGCGATCAATTTCCTTATTTTTACCTTATGTTAGTGATTGTTATGTAAAAAGCAACTGTTTCCTTAAAAATTGTTAAACACTAAAAAATTATCCTTGCACAGTGATAAAAGTGTTGGTTAATATTTATTGATTAATATCTGCAATTCTTGATAGTTTGGTAATAAGTAAAATTGAGTTTAATTTATTTTCCATCATATCAGCATCGAAAGTTTGAATTTTTTGCTCTATTTTGCGAGAAAGAAGTGCGACTTTTACCTTATGGAATATTATATACCAACTAATGAACAGCTTGACATTTACACTAATCTTCCCATAAAAACAATGGCAAAAAATGTAAACTTTTGGTTAGAAATATAATGGAAAATATTATACGCGTCAGCGAGAACAGTACGCTGATAAAAAAAATGTTTCCATTCAAGAAAAATATTCTTGCTCCAAGAAAATTATTTTAAAGAGAATTAGTTGTTTTATTTCAAGAATTTCTTGTCTTGATTTCATGTTTCTTGGAGTGAGAGATCTAATCACTTCGATCGATAACATTTTTACTTGGTTCAAGACTATATTATTTTCGATCGATACAAGTGAATTCTTTATTCAAAAACAATTCTCTTCAATATAGAATAATTTTATTTCATTTCAAGAATTATTGATTGTTGATTCAAGAACAAATTTTTTTTATTTATAATCTTATAAGTTTAAGTCAGAAAAAAACTTTGAAGTAAAAAAATTTGTATTTCTTTATATGCCAAAAAATATTTATTAACACAGAGAATAGCAAAAATACGAAAATTTATATGCTTAAAACAAGTAAAATAATATCTTAATACTTGGAACAAGTCGGTAATATCTTGAACCAATGTTAATGTCTATCTTAATCCAAGAGAAAGAAATTCTAGGGTGAAGTTGTAGACATATTATTTTGAAACAACCAAGTTTCTTGATTCGAGAATCAATTTCTTAAGTTAAAAGAATTGAATTACTTAAAACAAGAATGACATTTTGAAGAAAAAGTTTTTCTTGAATCGAGTCATTTTTTTTATCAGTGTGTACGCATAAAACGATTTTGTTGAAATAACAAAAGACAGGATAACTGAATAATTTGTTCTGGTAACAAATGAGTGTAGTTATAGTAACAAATCCATTAGTTGCATTAACAAAATGTTTCAAGTTGTACTAACAAAGCAATTTGCTAATTCACAAAATCAATTTGTTGCCCTAACGAAATCATTTTGTTGCCAATTTAAAATATCACGTGCTCTGAATTTTTTTAACTAACTGTTTATTTCCATGAATGGATATTCTTGTTAATAACGTTTAAAATTGATTGGTGTTTTTTTTTTATCGTTTGATTTAACATCAAGTATCTTTTGGTATAAAATACGACAAATCTGTTAGTTTGGAGGTTATTAATTTTAAAACCCTGTAATCAAGTAATTATTTAAATAATGTCAAAAACAGTCGAGCTTATCTAGCTTTAAAAATTTTAAATATTTATTATTTATTTTTTACAACCTCGTCTCTCACTTCTGTTCTAAATTAAAATAAAAGAAGTCAATTAATTAACAATGTTTTCAGTGTTACTACACGGTGAGAAATTTCTGTAGAAATTTACTATGCATACATAATAAGACTGAACCTTAATGACTCAATTCAAAATATTACCATAAAAATTTAAGAATATCATATTATACCAATCAATATTTACTAGGGACCATAGTAAATTTGACCATGCAACTGTTACATAAACATACCCATATAACAATCTTTTTCAAGACTTGAGCAAATCTGGTCTCAATTTCGATAGTTGTTAGTGTCTTTTTCTACCTATGGGTCTTGCTCCAGATACTTGTAGCAAATTCAATTGACAAGCCTTGTACAAGATCTTTGGGCCAGTAGATTATAGCTCAAGTCTTATTGAGAAACACTAACACCAGAAGCATGCTAAATATACTTGTGGAAGAGTTGCTCAAGATTTGCTCAAGATGAAATGTTTTCGAATGACCGTTCGCATCATTCTACCCCTCCTATATTTAGTATAGAATCAGTGGATTTCTGAGAATTACGGATCTTGAGCAAATCTTGAGCAAGTCACAGGTAAGTCTTTGTTGTGAGTTTCTGGTACAAAAAATGCGTCAGAAAGTTTTTCAATGCACCTTGCTTTAGACTTGTCTCATATTCTTGCACAAGATGTCTTGAGCTAGTTATATATAAATCTTGAACCATGTCTTTTTAAATAAACTTGAGCAAGACCCATATGTAGAAAAAGACACTAGCAACTAGGGGTTTTGCTCAAGACGCTGGCACCAAAATCTTGCTCAAGCACATGTTACTTGGGTATATAAAAAATTTTCGTAAACTGACAGAACAAAAACTGTTAGTGTGCTTAAAACTTTTCATTATAGTTCCATAGTAAAATTTCTGTTGCTCAGTCGACAATAAAAATTTGTAAAAAAGTTTGACATTTAGTCACGTGTACTCGGTTTAAATTTAAAATTGTGACTATGAAATTTTCAAATGTCCCATAGTAAAAGTATGCGCGTCAGTCGCGACGCGCGCTCTCATTTTTTCGTGCTGCTTTGTTTTGTCAACATAAGTGTACAGACACTATCAGTAGTGGTTAACGGTCTTATGAAAATTGCAATAAACATTAAGTTTTAAATAAATATTAATTTATAAATCCATCAACATATGAATAGTTAATAAAAATTTGTAAGATTCCTAAATAATAAAATATTTAATAATTTTCCGTGAAAAATTAAAATGAAAACAAACATTTGATGGTTAACCTGCAACCGACACTTTTCTAATAATAATAAAAAATAATCTAAAAGTTATACATTGTGTTTATAATTATTTATAATAAAATTAATTGCCAAAATAAATCCTACGTTCAAATGAAAAAAAATAGAAAACGTAAAATTTTATTCTGAGTCAATAAGGTTCACTAGTAATATGCACCATTGTAAAATCTAAAATCCATGCAGAATAAAAAATAATGGAAATTTCTCACTGTGTATTGTTGCGTCTCTAGACGCCGGTGCAGTAAAAAAGTTTAAGATGGTACTAGTGTTTTGTTGTCGATTATATTTACGACAGGTTAGAGTAGATCGTGCAAATAGTATAGCGCCGTACGCAACAATAGTAATAAGTAGAAATACATAAAAATTGAGTAGTAATAGGATCAGCATAAGTTGTTTGTTTTTCATGTCAACCGCCGACCCTCGTTATTACGACAATATAGAGTAATTATCATAAAAGGCTCATTATTTCGTAATATTTGTATATATATTTAATATTAACATAAATTGTAATTTATTAAATATTTATTTTTATATTTATATTCATATTATGATAATGTACATAAAAATATTGATTCACTAATATATTTTCGGTTACAGAAAACATGACTTTCAATCAATCAAAAGTTTATTTTCCCTCTGCTCCTTGTCCTAAAGAAAAGAGTATTTATATACATGCTCGGAATATTAAGAGTCAATAAATTTCTTAAATTTGATGTTATAGAAGCCATAAAAGCTGAAACGAACAATTACTGATAGCTTAATGAATAATAAAAGCACTTCAAAATGATAGATAGAATAACAGAGTTTGATTTCTAACTTGTCGATAAAAACTCTAATAGAGTTTTTATTTAATCGAAGTTACTGAATCTTATTTGATTGATTGGTAAATAACGAAGGGTAAAAACTATTAAATCTGTCATAATTCGTAAGAAGTAGTGATTTTATGTTCGAGATAATTTTTATGTAATCCAATTGTTGCGAATTAATCGATGCTGTAATTCTTCAAATGCTTTTCAATAGTTTGCAATATTTGAAATTGTTCGACGAAATTTACAAAAGTTAATATAAAAATTTTATAGGCGTAAAAATTAATGAAATAAAAAATAAAATTTATTTATGACTATTGTTATTGAAGAAAATGAGCTGGCTGAAAAAACAATTCATTAAATTTAATAAAAAAAATTTCGGGTTATCATTCAGGTCACGAATATCCGTCAACGTCAACTTTATTTACATGATGAAAAGGGTCCCACATTAATCATCGAATTTATGACAAGTTTCAAAGAGATTTAAACTTTTTTATCATATCTTCAGTTATATTATGGCAGCAACAATATAAAAGTTAACTTTGTGACAATATTATTCGCATAAAATATCTTTTTTCTATTATAAGCTTTCGCAATGGATCTAATAAAGTTAATTTCTGGATCCATTTTGATGAAAGATAAGTTACTAATATGAATTGGATTCATTTAATTAGATACAATTAATCGGATCCTAAACTGCTGAATCTGATTTATTTTACAATAAGTATTGTGATTCATATTGCTATCTGAGGCAAGTTCAATGCAACAGATCCAGTAATTGAGACCTGATCATATAAAATCCAATTAATTAAATTCTACATGGCTCATTATAATTAATTAGATTTGATCACATATGATCACCTCTGAACATATATGAGACATAATTTTATAAGAAAAGATCTCATTAAAAATATATGATTATACAGGGTCACACATCTATATATATTAATAAATAAAATTGTAGGTTTGTGTCCCTATATTTCGTTTTGCAGCCAAAACAACGCATTGCAGACGAATAGTGTTTG